TCTTTCCCAAAGTGGGCGATAACGCCCCCTTGTGGGCGCTGCAGGTCTCAAGTTGCGGGTTATAGTAAAAGTTTCGTTTAGAATTCTCCGTTAACATACAAATACAGGTCACAATAATTAATTAATGTAATTTGAAGTTATAGTGGTTTTTAAATATGTGTAAATATGGGGGCGCTAAAAAATATTTATTCTCAAAGTGGGCAGTAGACAAAATAAGTTTGGGAACCACAAAGCCCTAAAACACTGAACACAAACGCACCAAAATGCACCGAAACCATATAAGACTGCAAAATAGATTTAAATATATGTAGTTGTAACGGAATCACAATAAAATACGTCCAACGCCTTTTATATCAATACCCAAACGTGGTACAATGTGTAGAACCTTGAACGGCATATTAATAATTAAAAAAAAAATAACAGTTTCTTTTATAAAGGTGAGATTTTAATATTATTCAGTTTGTGTTGCCAGACGCCGTTAGCCAATCAAAAATGCTCATGTGACATTTAATGAATTACGAAGTTGGATATTTTGATTCGCTTTAAAGATGGACTTTGCCGATTTAATAGTTCCATAATTACCATATAAGATTTTATCAAATGGATTAACAAATAACATATTTATTTAAAAAAATAGTTGAATTTTAAGTTTTCTAACATAAATAAAATTTTGTACACAACATAGAATAAAAAAAAATCTCCTACGAACATCGACATAGAAATAAAAAATGTTTAAAGATGACCTTTTGGCTTTTACGACTGTATAGGTAACGATGTTAGATAATCGCAATTCAATTGTCTTAAAAAAAGGTACGCCTTAGCTTATGTCTATAAAAGGCAAAGTTATAACAAAACGGATTTGCGCATCTTAGTTAAAGGGCAAATACTAACAATGTGGTTGTTCTTGATCAATACCTTGGAAAGAAATAACTAATTAAGTATTTTCAAAATCTTCATTACAAAGACTCAATAAGTGTTTAATAGTACTTAGTTTATTTGTAACTAGCTGTCTTCTGCGTGGAATGAAAAGAATCTTAATAAGTAGCCTGTGTTCTTCCTGACTAGATTCTACATCTGTACAAAATTTCATAAAAATCCGTTGAGCCGTGCCGGAGATAACTTGAAACAAAGATCTATCCATCTAAACTTTCGCATTTTTAATATTAGTAAGATTAAATAGTAAGGTACAGTTTTAAAAGTTTAAAATCAAATCCTTTTTTAAATTTGCAAAGTGTCTTGTGCAAGGTATACGAAGTCATTTTAATATTATTTATTCGTTTTAAAGGAGGCATTTTGAAAACAACTGAGAAATAATGTTACAGTGGCCGGACGTGAGCTGCATTTTTAAAAGAACATGCCAATAAAATGCATACAATGAGTGCACTGCGTATTGGAGATGTAAAGAATTTGCATTTAGGCAAATTTAAACAAAAGCAAGTGAAGTAAAATACCCATTGTGCATTGTATTTAATACAAGGACAACAAGAATGTACCTTACTGTGTTATTTTTATTATGCCTTTTGCTAAAATAAAAACATATAAATAGACAAAGAATATGCTTATGAATTCTCTTTGGAACAGTACACAGAAATAGATTATAAAATTTGCGTCTAGAATTATTTTACTTTATCTTTGAATTTAACATTATAATATCAAACGAGTTTTTTTCATAGCTACAAGTGGTTTATGAAATCACTATAGTAGAGAAAAAAAAACTTAATTGTAGTTTTTGCGATCAATTTTGTACAAACAAGTATATGATTTTTTGCTCGACCGACAAGAGGTTTATTTTTTATATATGTATGTTTCACAATGCTGTCTACCGTAACCTATTCTACTTGGAAACTTGATTTTAAAGTGCGATGCACAAGTTTCTTTCACGAAGTGTGAAACCTTTTTATTAATGAGTTATTAAATAGATAAATGAAATAATTAAATATCAACATTTAAAATTAATTAAATTATGTAGAACAAAATCTAAGGGAACATTTTTAATGAAAAACAAACAAAAATAACTCTTTATTCATCGAAGGTCTTTAGAAATATTGATTGACAGATGAATGAAATTATATGAAAATTATAATATCATATGGTTTCATTATTTTTGTTTTAACTTTGCATAATTGTGATTATGTTACTCTAAAAGTTTTACAATTTACTGAATAAATATTATTCAATTTACATTTCTATATTAATTATTAAGTGACTAATTAATTAATCTACCAAAATAATACTATAAACTATATACTAAAACTAAGCCAAACTAAAAATAAAACTAAATAATATAAAAAATCGACCCCAAATAGCTGCGGTCGCACGGTAGGGTTCCCAAGATTACATTATTCCTATCATTATCATATAGTAATATTATAATTTTCATACAATTTAATATTTAGTTATCACTTATTATACAATATTTGGTTTGAAGCACTAACTTAATAACTAGAAATTTTGGTGTGTAGTTAGTTCTCGTTGTTACTGTATCTATGAAGATAATCAAGTATCTTCTTAAATACTAATTTTTGCGCATCTTTCCCCCATAAATGGTTATTGTGACTCCAATATATGTTTGGCACGATGTACGCCTCTACCAAGTTCGATAGTCTTGAACTTAATTCATTAGCGTCCTTCAATGATGAGACCCAATCATTTTGACTGCAAATTAAAAGTACTGGTGATGAGATATTTGTAACGTTATACTCCGGTGTTTTTTCTGTGCCGTATCTTTTGAGATTACCAATTTTACCTTCGTTGTAACGTTCAAATTTCTTTGATAGTATTAACTGTCCAAAATGAGCTAATGTTTTCGCAGATACACCGACAAGTAGATGTCCAAATGCTACAGAAAGTGTACTTGAACGTATGGAATCCTTCACTAAACCCGTTGTCAGTCCTAACGCAGTGCCACAAACTTCTTGCGGTGCAATCTGACAAAGATATTCAACTATTATATGTATTAGTTGACCTCTTGCTAATAATTCACCGACTCCAAAAGCATCAAAATACGACTTAAGTATTGGTGAAAATTGAGCAATAAACTTTAAAATAGGACTGTTGATATATTTAAACCAAGCAATTGGCGCAAGTTGTACTGAAAGATAGATCTTACTGTTGTATTCTGGTCGCAATGATGCCATTATAAAAAAGTCAGTCGTACCTTGAGAATGTCCAATATAAAATAATTTCGATTCACTAGTCACATTAAGTACGTAGTCAATAACCGCAGGCACATCATAATTTCCTTGTTCATCAAAAGAAAAGTTCCAGTATTCTATATCTTTGTCTGGATCCAGAAAAATATGCTTTCTAGAATATCTGTTCCCTCTGGTGTTTGGTATCCAAACGTCATAACAATTATCAGCAAGAATATAAGCCAAGCCATCTTTTGGACCACTTAGAATCCATGCATCTGAACTGTCATATAGCCCATGCACTAATACAACGGGTAAATATATTGAAATTCCTTTACATGTGGACGGAATTCGGTAAACTGTTAGAATATAACCATCTTCAGTAATTACAGTATGTTCTTCGTAGGTATAGTTATATTTTGTCGTCAATTCAGTGAAATTAAGATATGTGTCTTCATTGTAACCGAGGAGCTTTTTCAACGATCTATTTTCAGGAATAGAATATGTAAGAACTTTCTGTTTTTGTGCTAACGGTAGCGAATCACATAAATCTTGAAGGTAAAACATTATGAATAGTATCTTTTTCATTTTTAATTTTCTGTTGTCTCTTTGTTATCACTTTATCCTGCTTCTGATTTAAATGGACTAAGGTATATTTCCTTTTGTAAGCCTGTTTTATAATATTCGTTTGACCTTCAACTAAAGGTCTAAAAAACCTCCGGGTGGTTGAAAAAAGTGCATCGGGCATGTTGTTTTATTGTTATATATGTAAATGCAGAGATTTTTTTTATTAAGTATCACAAAATGACCTTCAGAATTACTCATCTACTGTATTATTATCTACATTTAAATTATAAGCAGAAATTTAAAAAATAATTTTTACTATTATTTTCTTAATTACTTTCATTTGACATAACCTATGTTTATTGTGCTCCATATAAAGTGCAGTCAAATGGTGATATTTTATGTATTGTCTGATAAAAAAAAACTACACATGTTTTGGTCGAATCGATTCTATAGGTTCGGTTAACCGAAATTAAAACATAAGTTCAATGCCAGTTTAACCTCTCAATAATCAAAGTCGGTACAATGAAATGAGCTACGAGGTTGCTGTAATTATTAAGCTCGAAATAGACTATAATAAATGATTAGGGAAAAAGGAAACAATCATACTTTCTGTATTAATCCTTATTTTTAGAACTTACTTATCATATCAAATTAAGAATATACGAGTAAAATGCTAAAAGAACTTCAAAAAATAATCTTACTTATATATAAATGCAACTATTTGGATGAATGTTTGTTAGATGGTATCTCCAAATGGCTGCATGGATCTTGCTAAATTTTGGGATAGATGTAGAACATATTTTGGAAGGACACTTTAACAATTAAGTTTATTTTGTCACCGCGCGGACGGAGTCGCAGGAATTGCAGAATACCTTCTTTGACGTACAAACATCATGTTATCAAATTTTGTTAGTTAAAAATTTCGAGTTAAAAATATTTCTATGACACTATAGTGCAATGTAAAGTATAGGAGCAGTTAGTCGGCGAATCCGTGACCTTGAGAGGTGCATGCTTATGGATATAGGTAAACGAGTAAGATGTGGCTATTTACGGAGTCGCAGCCTATCGAAACCCATTGGTATTGCAAGGTGAATTGCTTTGGAATTGTTTTAAATGCATTTAAATAATAAGAAGTTACTGTGTGTTATAATTTTATAACAAGTGTAAGATGTAAAAAATCATAAAATATCTACTATTAACCATCGTTTGAGGACGATTGATATAAAATTTGTAATTTTTTTCGCAATCATTATTTTTTTCAGATATTTATTTACAAATGGTAACAAAATTAATAAGAAAAATTACTAATCAGTGCTAAGAAGAGAGCCTTACACTATGCCACAATGTTTACAATTTTGTATTTACAATTTTCTAAAATCTATTACTCTTTCAAATTTGGACTTTATGGCTGCATTTTTAATTATCTCTAGATATTATCTATTGTAATAATCCTATTTTTATACTAAAGAAATTACAAGATTTTATTTTACTTAAATTTTATTGTATTTTGTTTTTTAATATAAGTTTATTAAGATTTAATTTCAATAATCTGTTAAAAATTATTACTCTGAGAACTCTTCTAGTAGGTACACTTTACCGTATAAATACTATGCTTTGTATTAAAGTGAGAGTTATTATTGTTTTTATAACCTTCATTTTATTATAATAGAATTTTTGTTTCCCTTTTTCTTTCTATTTGTTACATGTACGGGTCACTAACCGTGCGCACAGTTTGACACCGTGACCTTTGTAGCTCCGCATTGTCAAGCAAATGTCATACCATTGAGTAATTATTTCAGATGATTGAGTAAAGTTTGTTACATGCGCCTACACATTGTTGACGAAATCACTTATCTTGTTATATGAAGAATATTTTATAGCTGTCTTATTTTCTTGTTTATAATCTCTACAGCTAAAGAACGATACCTGGAGCAATCAGTTTGTGTTTTTTGTGCAGTAACATAGTCTGCTTGAGACTTCGTCAAGACTGAAAATAAAAAGTAACCTATGTCATGCATCAACTACTTTCCCGTCAAAGTCAACTATTGTCAACCTTGCCATTTCGGAGTTTATCAGAAACAAATGCAGACTGACAGACATACAAAAAAATCACAAATTCCTTTTTCATTACCAGCAACGCTTTTACCACTATAGTACGATTTTATTTACATTTTAGGTAATAACAAGTCTAGAAATAAATCTTAGTTTGCTATTCAATTTGTGGTAGTTTTATTGTTAAATAGACAGTGGCAATTAATCAATGGTTAATAGTTCTTAGTTCGAACGGAACTTTTTTGGATCGTTTAACCGAATCGGGTGTAGACGTAGGAAGTTCGTCGCATCAACAATTTTGTACGGACTTGCATTGACTTGAATACTAAGCAATAAGTACCGTTACTGTTTTATAGTGGTATAGATATAAACTGTTGAATACAGGATACAATGTGAATCATGGTATGAGAATATGTATAATTTTTAATTAGAACAGAGAGTATAAAGAGAATAGCAAAAAATATATTTTGATGATCGACTGACATTAATCAAAGTACGTAACAAAACAATGGACTAGGAGTCCAGAACCTAGTGAGAGCATGCGTTTGTACTAAAATATGCAGTTTAATTAAATATTCCACTAAAACGTTTAATTATTGTGTGTGTACACGTAACGTTATTTCACTTATGTTACTGCAGAGAATGAACAAATAGTTTTAAATGTGTTTAAACATTGTCCACTGCAAGTTACCTTCCGCATACTGCAAGTATCTTGTCGCCTCGGTGAGGTAAACACAGCGGTGACTGTCGGTGAAATGACATAGAGTAAGCATACAATGTAAATATCAGAATTGCTTAATACCTAATAGGTAAGAGTCGATCTATAAACTCAGGACAAGGTCGATATACTTATTGATATTTGTGTAGACGCATAGTTGCTACTAAACAAAGTTGTCATAACAAACCTTTTTCAAAATAAATTTCAATTATCATATTTACTGAAATACTTTAAAAGCTTTATGTCTGTATGATATCGCTGGGTAATATTTAATTAATAGTGACTTATTTGTCTATCTTCGTATTATTACATCTTTGATTAGAGCCGTGAAACCAGCAGGCCTTCGGGGCGGGCGCGGACGGTTGACGACTCGGTCGATTCATTCGGACCCTGTCCCAAATACCAACGAGAATAACTTCATAATAAGCACTAGCCTGATTCAATATTCAATTACGTTCTTAGCTCGCATACTAGAAATCGATACGTTCAATGTTTCTGTATTGAATTAAATACTTTGTCTTAAAATCTATCTTTACAACAGTTACATTTATTTATTTGTTGAGTAATAAGTAGTTGAAATAAAATATAAATAACACTGTTATTTTTGGATTATTTTGAAATTAAAAATATTAAAAACTTTTTCGTCAATACGCACCCTTTCTGATTTGATAATGAGAAAAAATTAAAAACCTCTTTTATTGATCATTGGTCCTTTAATCATCATCATCATCAATCTGCCCTTATCCCTATCGAGGATCGGCACAGTATGTGCTACTCCTGCATACATCTCTATCAGCCGTCATATCCGAATCTATCCTATCCTACGCATATCCTCTTTCACACAGACATTCCATACTTTATTGGTCTTCCTCTACCTTTGTAGCCATCCACATTCAATCTCATTACTTTTTAGCTTATATCATCATCATCCCTCAGCCTAAGATGTGTAAACCGCATCATTGGTGCTCTAATCACATAAAATTAGCTTCACTTCGCCAAGATTGAGATCATAATTAGTGAATGTGAATGAATGTGACAGGCATTGAACCAACACATACGTTAAATATAGATCTATATACAAACTGCATACTTAATCGCCGATTAAGATTTCCAAATGAGTCACAGACAACATTTTTCGAGATTTATTCACCTTTGGGGATTTTTGAATTCATTTCTGATTAATCTGTCATTGTTTTAATTATAAATAGTTAACGATAAAAGTCTAAGAACAATTTTTTCAACGAGTATCTTTAATGCCTTTGTTAAATTGTTCTGTAGCCATAATGATCATATCTTTATTTGTTTGGTTCGTTTTGAATTCACAGGCTCAATAAATTGTGATATTAATCTACCAGTAAAGGTTTTTTTTTATTCGTATAGTTTTTATAAATTTTACGTATTTCGTTTTAGTCGAACTTTAGATTTAAGTACTTTGATTCGTCCATCTCCTATGAAAATAGTATCGCTTTATTAATGAATTATAGATATATTGAGAGAAACAGCTTCAATTCAAGCGATGTGAACCAGAAGCGATGGTGACTTGTTAAATATTATGATTAGTTTATTTAAATTTCCATTTCCCTATTATTTTAGATTATATTGGATTCTATAAACAGCGCTTGTTGTCAACAGAAAGAATATACATCCTTATATTACCTGGATTAGTTGATTGTTATTTTTATCCCATCTATTAAATATCAGCAGGAAAAATCTATGGTCAAAAGTTGTTTATACTAAAAAGACTACTACTTAAGTCTTCTTTAATCTTTGTTCTAAAATAAATTCAAAATTATATAAAACAAAAATAACTTTAAAAGTTTTATAAAATAATGTTTTTAAATGGAAATAATTTTTTAAAGTAATTTAAATTACGTATTTACTGCGAATAAGGTGATTGATGTTATTAAAACCTAAAAAATCTTAAGATAAGGAAAACTTACAGAATAGTGAATAAATTGATTAAGCAATTAAGCATTGTCTATGCGTTTGCAATGAAAATATTTATCAAAGAAATGAAATAGTTATAACCTTATAAATATCATAAGCCCGGAAAATATATGAATATTGTTGACTGAATCTAATATAATAAGGTCAAGACTCAAGTGATCTTTAAAGAGTTCAGTGTTACGTTACGAGATAACTCGATATTCAATGTAAAAAGGATATTGATACCCTTTTTAGTAATGTTGCGAAGCCACAAAAACACAAACATACTATACTGCAATAAAAAAACTGATTTACCTTGGCCCTTAGCTGGACATGGCTAGGATTTGTGACCTAATGGAACCTTAACTTTGCATAGTAAGTTCAAGGAGATACTACGAAGAAATTAAATGGGGCTATAAGATTTTTCGAGTTAATTTTAATTTTTTTTTATAAAATTTAAGATTAACCTCTAATGTATAAAATAGAGCCTGACCAAGGTCTTGAAAATTCTGCCATGTCTTGGATGCCTTGTTTGTATTTATTTCTTTTTATATATAAAGAATTAGTTTCACATTTTCGCGTAACATGATCAAGTTTTCCACAATCCTGGTCAGGCTATACAAATTAATTTTAAAACAAAAGAATACATATTTGTTTCAAATCTATGATGTAATGAAGCGATGAATAATATTGTACAGTCAATGAAATACTGGCTAGATATTGATTAACAATCGTTGTACCAACTTTCTATGAGTAATCTGCGAAGTTTAGCAGCTGCGGACCGTAAATACTGGTACATTGTTTTATATTGTACTAATATAATAGCATTCTAAACAAACAAACAATCCACTGGGAGTTTTTGTTTTTTATAAATACTTATATTTTCAGGTTGAAATCACAACATTAAAGAAGGCTGGCATGTTGGAATTGCGTATGGTAAATGATTATTCTTTTTTCAACTTATGGTTATTTTTAATTATTTTTTACATAACTTATTACATTATCTATAAAGGTATTATAGATTTTTTATCGGCATAAAATCATGTCATCCTTAATATGACATAAAACATACCGACAGGTTTATCTAATCAAGTGATCTGAGATCTAACCAATAGAATCTGTTTAAAAGCATTTTAAAAACGCTATTTTAAAGCTTAAATCTCACTAAGATTAATTACGTTGACAAAGATTTCATAAGTAAAATATTTTACCACGATAGTGACATAATCTCTTAAATTAAAATAGAATCGTATTTTCATAATAACTCTTGAGGATTTTAATAAATCTACGCTGAGTAATCTTTGAAAAGAAAGATCTTGACAACGAAACTAAGTATTTTACAAAACATATTCTTATTTAATTATCTGTCTATTTATGTATTACTTTTAAATTACTTCCACTAAAGGTATGCAACGCATCTACAATTGCAGAAGTCTATAGGCAACGGTTGTTTAGCTAATTTTGCTAAATGCTGACCGTTTACACGTTTGCCACCATATAATATTAAAAAAAACACTGTTTACAGTTGCCACGTTAAGTCTTCAGATTTACAGACAATGATTCATTCATATAACGGTATGTGGCAGCAACGTTACGTTTCCTTATGTCGATAAACAAAAGGGATTGTTTTTCATACGTTAATGTATTGCTTCGGGATCAGTTTCTTGGATAACGGTGATAACTTAAAAGATACATAGTTGACATACGAATTTACTAAAGTGAATTCGATTTTGCATATGCGAAATTGTCGACTGACAGTCTACGCATTAAAATGGAAACTAGGGACCTGCCTTGTTCTGGCATGGTAGAACCTTACCGCCATTTTTGGGGGAAAAATAAATCCATTTCATTAAAATGGCGTTAATATTTTAGTACGTGATGTGAGTAAGTATTATGATATCAGTAAAGTTGCCAGTAAATTCTTTAAACCGGAAAAATGACGACGTAACGACAGTACGATTAAAATAAACTCACAATGATAACTATGGCCTTCGTTGAGATTTTCTTTAAAAAGTTAAAAATTATATTAACCGTCGAGCGTATAATAGGTTCTTCCTTCAAATCAAGGCATTCTAGTAACTGTGTACGATCGTCTTTTATTAAAAATGATAAAATCGTTTCATATTAGTTATATTTTACAAGTTAGTTTAAAGAAAAAACTGATCGTAGATTTAAAGAAAAAAAATTACTAGTAAATTAAGATTTTTAATACATATCACAAATATATGTATCATAATTATACTTTTAAAAATAAAATAATATTATTTGCAATAAGTAGTTTACTTGTAAGGATGAGCAAATATTCTTCAAAGATATGTAGTACGTGTAAACTTTCAGATAATTTGTGTTTCATTAAAATATATCATTCAAAATCTTATCCCATGGCCACCGAAATATCATTTTAGCATTCTGGTAGCATACCTCACTAAGTGTTCAAAGTGACATAAAATTTACATTAATTCTACACCATTTATCTATAGCGTGATAGTTGAATATCATAGAATAAAACAGCATTTAAATTACATTTTTTTTTCATATTTAATGTTCATTATTTGTGTAAAGTTTAAATATGTTATTGAGACTGACTATAAAATTTTATACTGATATATATTCAATAATATTGAAAAAGAAAGACTTTATTGCTATGTAAATTAATAATGTTGTAAACGACTAAATAAGGACAGTAATTTATTCGAATGAAACTCTACTTGAAAGGAAGACAACAGTAAATATACGAAAGTTTGTGGCACGGGATAGAGCGGCAACCCGCTGTAAGGATGCGGCGCTGTGCCTGCGCGGGGTATGTGCGGGGCGGGCGCGGGGAACTCGCGGGTGCTGCGCGGGCGCCGACGACGCTTTTCACCGCCCGAGTTACTCGTACGCCTACCCGATATAAAAGCCTCGACCGCCCATTCACCCGCTCGCAGTGTGTGCTTGAACGTAACAGTGTCCACTACTCCCGTGCAAGGACTTAAAGTTTATATAATGTATTCACGGTGTTTGATAGTGCTAGCGGCCGCCCTCGGCGTGGGTATGTAGAATTTGAAATATTTAGGGTGCGGCGTATGCGGTAGTGCCCGGTGGCCGACTGGAACAATCTAGAGCGGTGTCGGTGCATTCGCATGTCATATCGTGTCGGGATCTCGAAAGCTCCAGATGTGATACTGTACCTATGCTCAGCCAACTCCTCCAGCGACATAAGCACGCACAGAGAAACTGCGTTCTATGAAATTTTCCACAAACTTCAGCTGCGACATAAATGTCATCGATTACCACAATTTTTTTTATAATGATATTACGTCATTAATCTCAATCCTACATTTATATAAATATATTCTTAAGTTTCTCTACACTTTACCTTCAAATAGATTACAATTTAAATTCAGTGTTTTGTTTGATGATTTCTAATAATAATATAGGTCTAGGTATTGATAAGAGACAAAAAGTATAAAATAAAAAGACTACATTTTAAATGCGATTGTATCATTGTGCTATTTTACAGTATCGTACAATGAACAACGAATCTATATCTTACAACATACTCTCCGCTACTATTATGGTGGTTGACTTTCACTCATTTATCACGCCATTAAAATATTATCGAATTGAAATAAGAGGCAAGCGTTATTGCAAAATTAAAAAGATATGTTGTACTATCAAGTGCCTAATTAGAGACTACAGAGTTAAAATAATTTTTGTAATGTCACTTCTAATTGAGGGAATTCACTCTCATTATACTTTCTAGCGCAATGCTAATTACGTCATACAAGACGTGTGAAAATGAGCAAACGATGCATGCATTGTGAAAACTTACTTCATCCCGTTGTTTATTAACATATGAACGTTACCAAAATATTTTTTTTATATATTTTTAATATTATGAAATATTTTATTGGGAAAGGCGAACTATTGAATTCTAGCCTTTAATATCTTGATATTTAGACATGGAAATTGCAAAAAGTTTTCTCTAAACTATATTTCAAAGACAATGCAATTCTGTAAGATTTCAATTGATTAAAAAATAAATAATTTTAAAAATCAATTGTGTATAAGCTATGAAATCTTTCCCACGCAAATTAAAATCATATCATTTGTCAAACAGGACATCTTATTCATGTACTTTTTAGTTATGAGGCATTTACTATTGTTTGATATTGCCAACACGTAGGAGATTCTCACGAATGTTTTGCGTATTCCTCCGTATTCACTATTATAAACTAGAGAGTGGATTGAAAAGTACAAACGATTAAACGAAAACGACCCGTCTCTGAGAATGTTAAGGAATATTCATAAAGTTATTGCGTGATGCTATTTAATTGTCAAGTATGGCCGGTGCGTGTTCGAGTTTCACAAGAAGAAAATCCGGTGAAAATTAATCGATTGGTTGAGCGCGTGGCATTGAGCTGGGACATGTTGCGATCTCTTGTCAATTATACTTGTTTACGAACGTTGAGTAAAGTTATAGTTTAGTAACTTAGACAAAGTACGCAGTGATGAAATTTACTTTAACGTTTTTATAATTATTAAATTTTACAATAGGTTAGCGAAACATATACCGGTTTAACTTTTAACAGTTTTAACTTGTTATTTCGACATAATATAGCTTGATTTTGCCACTATGGTTGATGATATTTGTTCTTATTTTGGCATATTCAAACGCATAATACCGTAGACATAAATTCATGCTTGTCACGTCGGATAAGATTGATCGTCTTTATATACCAGTATTTTGGATGGCGCCCTTTATTGAGATGAAGACACATAAGTGTATATAATGATGTTATTGTGCCATTGGTCATTTTTTTTACATTACTGACAAGACATTTCTCAATTTGATTGATTCCTGACATAGTACCAGAAATTTTATTTTGTTCTTTTTGAACTAGATTTTAATAAATACAAAGCACAGCAACCATCCAATTATATTGTGCTGTCTAGTTAAGTATTCAGTCTATGCAAAGTCTTACAAAACTGGCCGGCGTTAATGTTCACTCGTACTAAACCATTATGTCATAGTTCTTGTAAGTGTCGAAATCTTAGCTTAGACCGTACATAGCAAATATTTTCTCTTCTAACTAATTACTATAAAGAGTTTTTTTAATTTAAATATTACAGTAATATTAAACAATAGACAATTAAGATGTAATTTAAAAGTGAAGGTTGTCTATTGTCTTTTACCAAAAATGATCAAATTTCTTGGCATTCTACGGATGCAGTTTTTGTAATTAATTACCAAAAACAATACAACGGAAGTGTTGTTGAACGACTATTCATTAGTCGAAGAACAATGAATCATAGTTTTTGTTCCTGTAGTTTATTTTCTTAATACTTGTTTATAATGAATGTTATTTATCATATATGACATATAAATGTAATAAATATTTTTAAATTATCTCGACGATAAATTGTTTCAACATATCAATTTGATCTTATTTCCTTATTGTAAATTATTTTTACTTTATTTTTTTACATTTTCTGAATATACCCCATACATTTATACTCACAATTGGTATATAAAGTGTCAAAATTTATAATTTGTTTATTAATGCATCGTTTAACTAAATAGCATTAAATTTTGTAGACATTTAACTTTTTACTTGGGAGGCTTATACTTCAACTGTCTGTTCCCTAGTTACGGCCAAGGGTGACGTTCGTTGTATTCGTTTATATAATAGATATTAAAGATTTTTTTTATAATATGTACTGTAGGTTTGTAACGTGGCAGCATGTAACCTAGGTTGTTTATATCGCGCCGGAGATGTAGGATACGGTGATTGTACGTCCTTCGTGACCGCCTTTTATAAATAACTTTGTATCGACTCGTATTAACGTTTGACTTTTTGTTTTTCCTCTTATATTCCGTCCGTCTTTTACTACCTGCGTCCAACTTCTTGTTCTAAATACCTGTTAAACGTTTTCTTTTCGTTAAAATCTGAATGACTATTGGATGTATTAGCATAGCAATGTAATTTTTTTCCTTATATGTTAAATGAAACAAATTTTAGAAGTTTGGGAACCAATGATTCTTTGTTGTTTTTTGTTCATTTTTCAATCATTTGATTTGAATTTGTTATACTATTTTGAATATGTTAGTGTAATAACACATATTAATATTTTTATAGCAGTAAATATTACTGGAAATATGTCAAGTCAAAAAGTATACATTATCTTAATGTAATTAAGTATATTTGCGCAACGCACAATCAAATTTCAAGTTACGTATTAATACATGTGGCCTCACCTATCCGCCTTTGTGAACCATAGGAGAATAATTATAGCTTATTACATTCCTTTTCAACAGTGACATAAGTAGTATTAAAATTTTGTAATATGTTTGTAACATTTTTCTCGTAGCTGAAATAAAATTATTTATAAAACAATAGCCTTTATGTTATGATTTTTTTGTATTGTAAAATAATTAACATTTTTACAATATCTCTAAAAAAAAAACAAATGAGCTTCTTTCACAAAAAATTAAGGAGGATAGTTGAAAAATTTCTTTCAATTTTAAGTAGTAATTAAGTAAGAGGTTTATCAAAAACGTAACTTGACATATCAGTGTTTTGAATATTTCTTCTTATCTATTTTATTAAGGTTTTATTATTTAATTGCAATCGTTTATTTACAGTTCTCAAGTTAATAGAGTTAAGTAGTAAGTTGTACAGTTCACAAAAAATTATACGATTGAAATAAGTAGAGTAAAAAATAATGAACGAGAAAGCGTTGAAACTTTCACCGACAGCGCATAGCTGCCAATGATTATCTAATGTTATTTTAAATGTTACATCAACTTCTCTTACATGTAATGTAAGTAGGCGTTAACTTAAAAGAATCAAGTTTTAAGTTTATTGTTACTTAACATTTGTAGTACAACCAAGATATTTCCTGTTAATATAATTACGAATTTTTAATATTACTTTTGTCTTACAATTAATTAAAAATTACCATTTTATTTATCTTCAAATTTACTTACAACTTATTAATTAATGATTGTTTGTATTTCAAAATGATGAAGATAAAACATTGAATAAATTAGATTATAATTTGAATTCGAATAATGATCTTATTAATATTCAAATTAATTATTGAATAAAATGTAGATAAAGGTCAACTGTCAGACATGATTGCTTCATAAGATGAGCGTGAGCATCAAGGTGTTAACGAAATTGAAAGTTCCGCCCAGGCTCGCTCTGTGGGTCAACTTGAGGCTTTCACCTGTATTACTTAACGGTTTTTGACCTTTGCGTTGGATAATGTATTGTGTAACATTACGCCTATTTATAAATATTTCTTGTTGCATTACAAAATGATACTTAAAGTAACTAATTTAGGTTTTTGAATTTTAATTTATTGCGTTATAATGTTATCAAAATGGATACGTTAATTATTTAACTGCCACTCTCAGAATTAATTGGCCACTAAGACAACTGCTAAGTGTGAATTAAGTATGAGAAATATAGACTAACAAACTGCTTAATTGATCTTTATATGTATATTTTTATGTAGATAAGAAGCAGATTTATTATATTATTACAGAACAGATTTATTAGATTATTTAAGCGTCAGATTTAGCTGTTTCATTTGTTTAGTTAATATATGTAAGTAAACCTTATCGTTGAGATTTATGTAATTGATTATATGACACATTCATACTTATGTCATAGATTCGTAATATGACGTGAGGGGTTCATATGACATTATCGAAAGGTAATATAATATGCAAGAAAATCTGGATTGGAACCTTTGGGTTATGTTTCTGATATGAGATTATTACTTTAAATAAAGAAGCAAATGTCTATACTTTTCCTATGTAATTATTTTATTGTGAGGTTAGATTTTAGTCCATTAAATTATAAAAATTACTACTTCGTACGTAGATTTACAAACTACATGTAATAAAATTTTGTTACTTTTGTTATAAACGCAACAAATCTATTTCATAATTAAGTCATTTGCGTGAAATATGTTGTGCTAAAATTGCTAAATAATAATAAATAATAATAATAATAAAAAAAACTATACGTGAACTAGTGGCAAATTGATTCTGAACCGTTTCGTGTTATTTATTAATTTCATCATTCATTTAGTAACAATCTTGCTTCAACTGACAAGAATGTTAGGCATTTAAAAGGCGTCTAGTTAACCTCGATTCCGTATGATAAATAATAAAAGTTGTCTAAGTCTTGTTTTTAATATCATAAAGAATAGTGTTTTTTTATTTCATTTCAACGCAATCAAATAATATAGATGGCCTTTTTAAGTTATAATTTGAAATATTGCTAAATTTTATAAATATGATCGATTATGTAAATTAGAGGTTAACAAATGCTAAGGGGGTCAAGCTTTTAAGAGTGTAATTTTAGCGTATCCATTAAAGCATTATAACCTAGAAAAAAAATCGTAGCGATACTGTTAAGTAATACGTTTAAGCAATATGTGTTTAAGCATTTTGTAACCCATATTGATCTTAAAAATTTAACTGAAATAATCTAGATTTGTATACGTTATCAAGGACATTTACATATAGGGAATTTTATTACACAAAGCTTTGTGAAACTTTAAATATTCAGATTATACGTTTTAATAAATAAAAGAGAGAAGCTTGATGCAAGATTCGCTAAGTTTTCGTCTGTACTGGTTGCGTATTAATGCCGCAAATGTCAACCGGTACTGTTGAGTAGGTTTCGTGACATAACAACACAGAATATGGAAGTATTTACGTCCAATCGTAAGCAAACAAGATACTCAAAAACTTGTTCCTATCAGTTTTTTATAAATCTGAGTAATGGATTAAATTATTGCAGTAATTTCAATTTAAGCACGTTAATAACTTGAGGATTTTTTTTAATAAATAAGGATTTAATGCTAGGAAATACATTTTTAACATTTTATTGCCCGGTAAAGCGATAAAGGCAATGTACAAAGTTGTATATTACTCAATATCCATTTGTCGCGTTGCATTCTGTGGAGAAAGAGTGGCCCTGTGACTGGTTGTTGCGAAATCTGTTGCGCGTATAGCCGCTTGGCAAAATCCCTTGTATCTCATTTCGTAACTACATTAAAAATTCAAGATGACACACCTTATGATAAATTACCGCAATATATTATGTAATGGCATCTAATTAAGAACCTTAAGCAACCCTATTAATAATAGACGTATATGTTATTAAAAATTACAATTTCAATTTTTTTGTTGCAGCTCTTGGTCAAGAATCCTTCAAATGTCCCGATGACTTTGGATTCTACCCACACCACGTGTCTTGCGACAAATACTGGAAGTGTGATAATGGTGTCGCTGAACTGAAGACCTGTGGCAATGGACTCGCTTTCGACGCCTCCGACTCCAAATACCTGACAGAAAACTGCGACTACCTCCACAATGTTGACTGCGGTGACAGGTCACAACTTGGTATGTAAAGATTCAATCAGAATTCTATATTTAAAGGAGTCTTTAAAATAGTTTGTATTGCGATGTACGTGTTAAGATATGAATAAAAACAATTACATTAAAAGTAAATCAGATAAAGCATTCAATATGAAACTGATTCATGAGCGCCTGGTAACATTCTATATACTTATACACGGTCAAGGTTAACAAGGATTTGCATTCAAATTTATTCATGATGGTATTCCACTTACCAGGATGTGGTCAGAAGGTCGTTAGTTTAATCACGTATAGTAAATTATATCTTCATGGTGACAAAAATTGCTAGAATGTGTTAATGTGAACACATTTACATAATTATTTCTATCAAACTTTAATAAAAACAGATAAATCATTGACATTACAGCCAGCTATTATAACTAATGAAATATTGGGTTAGCAGTGGATTGTAATGTACTTCCATTTCACAGAACCCCCAATCTCAACTCCCCACTGCCAGAGACTGTACGGTATCTTCGCTGATGAAAAGAAATGCGACGTATTCTGGAACTGCTGGAACGGTGAAGCTTCCCGCTACCAGTGCAGCCCCGGACTTGCCTACGACAGAGAGGCACGCGTCTGCATGTGGGCCGACCAGGTTCCCGAGTGCAGATCTGAGGGTATGTCACTTTATTAATTCAAAATTCGTTTAATTTAGATTATCGAAACGTCCGTTAAATGTAGATAGATACATCTTCTCCTTCAGTTTTTCCTCAATCTTGAACATATTCGATTCGTCATAAGCAACCTTTCTAAAACCTTGAATCCTTATAAGTCATGCGATCCATAAGTATTTATAAAATAACAAGAAATATAACAAAGAATTGAAGTAAAAAAACAAATGCTTTAAAATTCACAGAAGTAGCCAATGGCTTCGCTTGCGCAAACCCCGGTGAGGTGGCCAACGCTGGCTCCTTCAGCCGTCACGCTCACCCTGAGGACTGCCGCAAGTACTACATCTGTCTCGAGGGAACTGCTCGGGAGTACGGTTGCCCCATCGGTACCGTCTTCAAGATCGGCGACTCTGACGGCACTGGAAACTGCGAAGACCCCGAAGATGTTCCCGGATGGTGAGTACTATTTACATCTCGAGTTCGTATTTTCTATTAAATTTCTTTTTTCATTAAGTATCTGTCTGTTATCGTTCAAGTGAAACTATCTTGACTAAGCAACTTGAACGCTTCTCTTTAAATTTCTACTGAATCACACTGGCTCAATTTATAATGTGGCCGATATCAGTCTCTTTTAACTCTGTTATCAAAACGGTGTCCCTTTTGTTCCTATTCCACAACGTACATCCCTGTGACTAACAATTCTTTTGCACTTTTCGATAGATTCTTTACATATTATTCGTTGTTATAAATATTGAAGTGTTTTAAGTTATACAGTCATTTTGTATTCCATAGACATTCCGATGCATTTAAAATGAGCGAACAAAGAATGTTGAAAGAACTTTTAAAGAATTAATTGGTAGATAGGATCTTACATTCAAAATGAATTTGAAATTTAAATAAGTTAAAGTAGAACTGCACACCTGTCTACAAATATGTCATGTAGTGTCCGCGGACGCTCCTGGTCAATGCCGACTTGTGTAACGGAATGTATGGTAATGACCGTTTTGTTTCATAAACTTATTTGGCGAGTAACTGTATTACGCTGATTTAGTAACGCCATTCGAATTTCAATATTACATACAATGATTGTTTCTAGCCCACTTATGTGTATGCTAGATAGCTGTTTCCTATTTTTAATTTCTTTTTGTACATACAAAACTAATTGTTCAATGAAACAATGAGTCCTTTCAATAAGGCTTATCTTTAGTTCATGGTCTGTCTGCTTTGAACAATCACTTTAAAAGTGGGATGCGCCTGCGACGGTCACGATTAAAAAGATCAAACGAAGGTCAAATGCGTCGTATTGAATCCTTTCGAGTATCATGTCGTAACTTATAAATGAATTCTAAGAATATATATTTTGTTTTATACGCACCTGTATTTAAGCGAATGGTGATTTATACGTTATACGTTCAAGGCAGTTCAGTAGATATCAAGTGTCGTGGGCAAGTTTTATTACACAAGTTTCAATTATCTTAGTTTGTTCGCAGTAAAAGTTGCTCGGAATTAAGATAGCCATTTACATCGTTTATTGGAATAAGAGTAGAATTATTTATAATAGCAGTAAGGTTAAGTTAAGCATGAGTGGATACGACAGGCAGTAAGGTGCGCGTACATTTTCAGCGAGGACTACTATGGCGATTTGGATCTGAAGTCGATCCGCAAGAGCGAACTCCTTGCCGGACTCCAGAGCGACGGCCAGTCCCGCCAGACACAGCCAAAGCAGCTTAAACCCCGCCCCCAGAAGGAGAACTAAATCTTAACTCCCTCCCTCTTAAACCTTTAATACTCACATTTTTACTTTAAATTACTTCGCGCATTAAAAACAACGAGCACATACAGTGTACAGCACAGTCTGAATATAAATTTGAAAATTTAAACAGAAAAAAAGTTGTTTTCGACGCGCGGGGATATTGTTCCAAGTTTAAATTTGAATTTCGAATTGTTAAGTGTGTGAAGCCGATTGATTTGTATTCATTTCTAGTTGCCAAATAATTTTCTCGTTGTAGCCTTAACAGAACAATTTTTCGTAGGCGGATTAGAAAGTTAATAGAAAGTTTACAGCGTTAGTAATATTTATTTTATATTGTATCTTAGCTCTCATAGTGCTCTGTAAGTCACTCTACCGGTGGACTTAGTCTGTGCCCGGTGATAATTCCGCTGGAAATTATAAAATAATAAAGACTAGGATATATTATATGTATAAATATATAAATTTGCATTTATAAAGTCCAGTGTAAATTGATACGTTTCCATTTCAATCAATCCACGACCTTGTAAATAATCTATGTATTGAATTATCTCGCTGCGACTGAGTGTTGTTGTTTGATAAACAATCTGTAATTACTTAAGTTTTACATTTAGTGATAAAATAAAGAAAACATTTAAAAATTAAACCTTTTTTGTGTCTTATTTATCTGTACGTTGGTAGTATTGTATTTTTGCACGAACTTCCTTATAACATATTTCACGGTAACACTTTTTTCTATGTTGTCTACACTCTTATAACCTTCTAATAACTTCTGATTATTACAGTTTACTTCTCTTTTATTAATCTGTATATACTCTACTTGTTCTTTTAACAGCCAGTCTTTGTCTTCTTTTAAAAAGGTACGTTTATTAATTATAATACAAGCTTCTTAACATAAGTTTTTTTTCTTTTTGTCTTTAAATAAATATGAATTTTGTAGCTGACAGTTATATATAAAAAATACTTGTTTGTAATAATAATAATATATTTTACAGCGAGGATTATTACGGCGACGTCGACCTCAAGGCGCTAAAGAAGTTGGGATTTTGAAAGTCAGGGACCAGTGAAAGGACAGACTTAAATTAAGGCTGTACTATAATTGGTATAATATAAATAGCCTTTTAAATATTACAAATTAAATTATTTAATGACCATTCAATTTAAATTAGGTTACCAATTATAGTCTAATTTCAAATTTTAAAATTTGAAACAATGACAAAATTGAACTTTAATAAAAGCAAATAACATTTATTTTTGTTAAAAATGCTACAGTACGATTTAAAAAATTGCACTGTATGCGTTTTAATATTGATTTTAATTTAATGCAAATATAACGCTATTGCAATTACTATTATTTGACAAAATAAAAATAAGGCTTTTTAAATGTTTGCCAAATATATAATACTAATAAAGTATCTCTTTGACATGCTACCAACGTGATGACGTTGATAGTTTGTCGAACATGAATATATATTAACTTAGTGATAAGTTAATTAAGTTAGGTTAGGTTTTTTACAGTCGAATGTAAATAAATTTTTTTACTCACAATTGTTTATTAATTTCACCATAAAGAAGGAAGTTTCCTTACATAAGAAACAATTCAAAAATTACAAGAAATATAGTTATATAAGTATGCATACAACGAACCCGGCTAAAGCCAGATGTTTTTCACGTAAAGTATTCAATATTATAATAAAAGCAAAAAGACCGATAAGTGAAATGAGGAGGTTATTGACAGCTATTCAGCTGTTTTAACATCTGCAATAGCTTTCAGCTTCAATTGACGAATTGCATCTTGACGTGACATAGCAACATGTGTTGAAGTCCAAGCTGTAACAGGAAAATTAACATCGTAAAGCTTTTTAATATAAACAGAACACTTCGTGGGATTTCCACTGTCGAAAGACTTGAACAAAATATATTTTCATCCAGTGTATAAAATAAATAAAACCATAATTATTAAATTAAAAAAAACCGTCATTAAAAATGTAGTAATTTTTTCATACTAATATTATAAAGTAGACTTTGAATGGATGGATGTTTGTTAAAATGTATCTCTAGAACAGCTGCATTGATCTCAATAAAATTTGATATACATATAGAAAATATCCTGGAGGAACACATAGGCTACTAAATAAGTTTTTTAATTACACGTGGCCGGAATCGCGGGCAACAGCTAGTTTAAAAAATACTTAAATACTTACTTTTGCTATCATAATAAGTATTGATAAACTGATGAACTGCTCCAGGAGTTGAAGCTGTAGGCGCTGTACTTTGTTCTGTTGGAGTTGTAGCCTTCGTCATAAAGGTAGCAGTTGTTGTCGTCGATTGCGGAGTATTTGATGAAGGTTGATCAGAAGATTCCGGCGAGTAATTACAATTCACAGTATGCTTATAATCACAAACTCCTAGATACTGAAATTTAATAAGTTAAAATAATAAATACACCATTATAATTCGTTATTTCGATAGTTCTATATTTATATGGAATAACTAAAATGATCAATTTTAATTGAAGTATTAATAATTTAAGAAATTGGCTAATGCGTCAAACTGAACTCGTTTTTTTCCATTCTATTCAGTATATATTTTATGTATCAATCAGTTGGATTTATTGACTAAGAGGTAGGTAATGTTTCTATGTATGCGAGTTTATGTGAATGGAAATTCTTTTGTGGCGGCATAGTGTTAAAACTAGAGAAATAATTTTTGCTAGTGCGATCATTTGATTCGTCTTCTTCCCCGGGGTATCATAGGGTGTATTACATCAACATTCGTCACATACAGTGGATGTAAGAAATAAAATTGTATATTAGTTAATTAAGAGTTCGAATATCACTCGTCATAACATTTTTTTACATCGCTTAATCACTTTTTCGTCGAAAAAAATCGATAGTTTAAATTAAGCCATTTTATCCATTAGAGCCTCAGTCAGTCGGTTTTTTTTAAATTTAGTTTAAGTTATAACAAACATTTTCTATTTGGAATTTTAAAAACCAGTTTCCTTATGCATTTGTATTAAAACTTACAGGATAATAGCGTTGACAAATTAGGAAATACATACAAGTTGGTTTCGAGCTTAATTAATAAGGAAAACTATATCTAATCAAAAATATTTCTCAGAAATGGTCTTATGTCTAGTCTAGTTTTTATGAATAACTGCATTTAAAGTTATAATAAACGAAAGTAATTGAGAAAATGTATATTCCTTGAGCCATTTAAAAATATTAAACCTCACGAAGACATTACTAAAAAGGAAAAACAGATGCTACTTTTTCTTAGTAGAATATTACGAAGGTAAATTACGCGTTAATATTTTTTACAAACACGGAGAATTACTATTCTCTAACTAAACATACTTATGCAAATATACTTGTAACTAATAATGAATTAGTTGCTTTCTATGGTAAAAACTGTCTTAGTTTTTTTTTCAAATAACCTTATTACCTTATGTAGAAGTAAACCTTACTTTTTAGTAATGTTCCATCTCTTAGTACTGAAGAATTAACATATCCCTTACCTGGTTAAAGTAAAGGTCAGAGGGGCATTTGAATCTGACCGGCATACTGTTCACACATACGAAGAACTCGTTGCAGTTCGTTTCGTTTCGAAATGTTTCGAAATCTTGGCGACATCGCGACACTATGGTATCTGGAAAATGTATACAAAACATATAAACATCTATGATAACTACGCTTTAATAGTAATTGTTACTATAATATATAAGTATGATATAAACATTCACCGTTTAAAAATACAGGTCAGTAATAAATATTTTGTTGCAACAAATTAGAAGAAAAATTCCGATTGACATTAAAATAAAAAGCGTTTGCGCTTTTTATATTGGCTGTTCGAAATTTAAAATTATTTATTTTTCACTTTTACACCTCATAAAGTAATCGTGTTCTGGTATTTATCCCATTTTAAACAATAAAAGAACAATTAATCTATAATACTTATTTGTTAATTTTTTAAAAACTTATTTGATATAAAATTTTGCATTAAAAATATTACGTATGAATATAAAAAATGGGACATATTTGTGTGTGATATCGATGATATAATGTCGAAGCGTTGCGTAATTGAAAAGCCGCTTTGCATAATATTTGGTGTGACATTTCCAGCGATATCTGACGAAATGTCAAACTTCAATTTTTTGCTTTGTCAATTCATTCAACCATATACCAAGTTAATTGTGCTTTTTATAAATACATATCTAAACACTTTGATCCGGCTTGACTGAGTAATTTATCATGGTAATAAAATTCCTTATTTCGGGATCGCAAGTTTGAATAGAAACTTATGAGATGACTAAAGACTCGACATTGAGTTTATTACTGTATTTGGTAAAGTTAAGCTTGTCTGGCATGAGATTAAAATCTAAACTTGTTTTAGGAATTAATGACGTAGTCGCGAAACTTAATCTCGCTATAAAAATCGGAATTATTGTATATACAATATTTTAAAATAACAAAGCTATAATTAACTACAAAGATACAATTATGACCTTTTTTAATTGGGCCTAGAAAAAGATAAGTCGCTGTTTACCAAACCAAACTTAAGTTCTGTTTTATATCTATCTATTAAAAATAACACATAATGTTACAAATGGGACATTTCATTTACCAAGTTAGTTAAAAACCGACGACGCTCACAATCGACCGGTTACAAATAACACAATTCTGACAACTATATACTTTGTATCTCAAGTTAAGATTACCTTTAAGTTTTCTATTACTGCAGTCCACGTTATAAGCATAGTCACAGTATCCATTATTAGAGAACAGTAATCCATCAGGACACTCCTGCTCAAACGCCCAGCCGTCCCAGCAATTGAGAAAGTTGCTACAGAGTTTCTGTGAGGGGATAGGTTCCCTCTTACCAGTGCAGAGTGGGTTTACTTCCACCACTGGGTCACGTGTTGATAGCAACATTAGTTTATTCTGGTATACTGGATCAGTGTTGATTTGCTGCACCACTGCATCGGATACCGGTATCATATATGCTATGGTAGAACCGCTGAAGCTTGAGGGCTGAATAATTTTTACCCACATTAGTAGGAGATTAACCAAATTAAATGATATTCATGTACATGAAGCCTTATGATGACTTCTAGGATATCTTTCAAACCAAGAAATATGTGTGTGTACTCACTCTAAGAAAGCTAAAGAATGGATTCATCAGGTTCCAAAAAATATTGTTTTTTCCACCAAAATCAGTAAGGTAAGGATTAGAATACGTTTTTACCAGATTTCCTTCTTCATCATAAACTGAAAATAAATATTACAATGAAATAATAATATAAAAGAATAAGCAAGAAAGCAAGTGCTATCAGACATGTAAATGCCAAATATGATTTCAAAGGGAAATTAATTACACTTTAAAATTAATTTGAACGTTGAATAGCCACATCACACGCCACAATCTCAAATCGAGATTAATGTTGTCCGCAAAGGATGTATTAAACATTTTCAACTTGTCGGAAGACATTAGGCGCGTTGTAAATGAGATACGGACAGTTGAATGCGCCTCGCCGTACGATTCACTGACACGCAACTTACAAAAGCTTTAACATTTGTCCGGACGAACGTATTCAACCGTAAAGGCTAATCATAAATTTCTTCTTTGATTAAACGCCAGAAAATCAATACGTCTTATAAAAACCCTTTCTCGGTCATTGACTTATACGCACTTATTTAATATTTGATATATTTCTCAGACGTTTTTATGGCAACTAAATTGATGATTCATGTTCAAACCGAATGTTCTCCGGTAACGATGTCAATTGTGATAAAATTAATGATTAAAAAATCAAAAGTTCAATGCACAAACAAAAATACATATACTAATAAGTACATGAAGTTCAGAAAAGTTAATCTTGCAATGTCACATGATCTCAAATTTTAAGATAATATGAATCACCGAACTGATTGCCCTACCGATTAATCAGTCCAGTGGGTTTATTATTGATTCTATGGACCGAATAGTAAGCTAATCGGCCCAATGGGAATCACTCTGCGTATGAGAAAAACACTAATTATATTTTAAAATAGAATTTCTGCTACGATGTTTTGCAGAGTGCATTATTACAATCCTTCAGTGAATCTCAATTCTTCTTAGATTGCAATCACGATTGTATTGCTTTGTGAGCACGTAATCACAGTGTAATGATCAGTGAGATTGGTTTGTGCTTTCATTTTGTATTTTATACATCCCTTAGTTGGTTATTGCCACGCGATGTCTAGGTCATTGATATTACAGCACGCAATAGACCGTACCTTTTCTTTCTTTTACTTATAAGAAGTTAAGGTAGCCCATATATGGTTATGAATAATTTAAAATAAAAAGTAGAAATGTTCTATTTCCATATTCATATAGGTTTGGGTAAAATATATTTAAAACAAATTTTTATTAATAAGATTAAATAGTTAGAGATTTTTTTTACTATCATAAAATATTTTTGGAATCATTATTATCTTGTTTTTATTGTTCCTATTTTGTTACCACAAAAACGACAGAAATTTAATAAATTTATAAAATTAACCATTGAATTGCAAATATGTTTTTTTTTATGAAATGATATTATTTTAAGATCTAAACTGAAAAAAAAAGTTTTTATAATAGGAAAAAAAGAACTTACATAAAAGTCTTCTTTGTCGATTTTCCCCAGGAATCTTCTCAGATAATGTATTTCCGTCATCAGCAACACCACATGCTGCTAACCCCAAAATGATTAAAGTAGTCAGCTGCAACATTACTAGCTCTGTTGTATCTCGTAGGCAGGGACCAAGGGCAATGTCAGGGCTAAACGGAGATCCTAGCTTTTATAGAAGTTCTACTCGAGTACACCCATACATACGTGGGCTCCAGTTTTAGTCTGGACATTAAAGGAAAGCTTAAAAGGATATGTCTGTTGTACAGATCTTACATGTAATTTTGTACATTTAAATACACGTTTGTTTCAAAATGTTATTGTCGCGTTAAAGTTGTTAAATTTCTTTGTGTTCCTTTTTGGTCGCTCGCAATGGCGTGTTTAAAGACACTTTAGGTTATATAAAATTAGATTTAAAGAAACTCGTGTTATAAAATAAATTTTAATATCGTACGTTTCAAATATGTAATAAATAATTTTACTTACAAATCTCTGTGTTTATATTTAGCTTTGAAATAAGACATAAATCTATAATGTGAATTGACAAAATAAGAATGTTAGTAAAAGCTAGCTGATAGTTGTAATAATAGTAAGTGATTTTTGTAAAAAATGTGTAAAATTTATAATATTGATTGTATAGGCTTTGCATGCGTATAATATTATTATACCAAAAACATATGCAAATAACATATGAAGATGTTTTCAAAACACGCATAATATTTTGCAATACAAAATAGCATGTAAGCACTTATTCTGTAAATAGATTTTATGGAAACGTGATATTTATTGAATCGTAAAGTTGGACAGCTTTTAAAACTAAAGAAGTTTGATAATAAAAACATATAAAATAATGTAAAAGACACTCTAGTCTACGATTCGTTTTAACGAAACATAAAGAAAATGATTTAACATAATACAAATAAAATCTAATTTTAATCAAAGGCTAAATTAAGTTAAACATTACAAGGAAATATTCCAAAGTACTTTCTGCGGTTGAAAACGCTTTTGATTTGCCGCCGTTCAATCTAGAGATTCATCTAAACGCGTCAATGCATCAAGATTCTCGACGGCCATCTTGATAAAATGAACCACGCGTCTCATTTTATTCAAACGAATAAAATGATATATTTGATGTTCCTTACTCCTTTGTGTAATATGCAAGAGCATTGCACTCTGTTGCAAATAAATAAACAAAATGTTACATATTTAATTAATTGCCAATGTTAAATGTATTTATTGTAATTTACATATTTAAATTGTAAATGAGTACACGCAGGGCGCCATGTTTGGTGGGCGGATAGGGTGTTGTTTACTATTTATATTTAGGTAATTACGCCCGCCCACGCGTCTTTTACTTGATAAAATCAAAAAATTACCTTTTACCGGTTTGAACCAGTAATGCCCATTTGTTAATTAAATTTGAATATTTTCAGTAAGTAAGTATTGTGTAAGAAATATTTTAATAAAAGTAAAGTAAAGTACATATGTAACAATCGAGTAGACGTAAGTGACACTTGTATGAAAGTCATTATTTATTTATAGATATTTTATCTAGTACTTAATAAATAGTAAATTCTATGAAATTTTCTTTAACTATTCGTCTTCATTATATAAATAGTTTACAAGGAATTGTTTGTAGAACATAGTATTTTATTACAAGTTAATTATTACGTAGAACGATGCAAAATAGTGAACATCAAATATATGAATCTTTCAAAATGTCTAATCACAAACTCAACGAACCGTTTCAACTTAACCTACATACCTAAGTTCAAACTTATGCAACATATTCTTTCACACCAATTAGCTATGCTGTATTAATAATTATGACTCATTATATACCATAATAAAATATACATAAATATAAACAGTCTAATTGAACTACATTTCTATGTTTATAGAGTTTGAACAACTTTTAAAATAAAACAAGTATTATAATGAACAAATTTAATAATTATTTTTGTTTTGCAGACATATTACTTTGTGCTAATTCTCTTGCGGAACGCGTAGAACAATAACAGGATCCAACAGCTTCGAGGAACGAACTCGTGAGTGAAGAATACAGACATATACAGTTACATTGAAGCGCGAGCGAGAGAGTTGCTGTTAACGTAACCTTTCGCTCAGCCATTCTTCAGCTAAGAACGGATGACAAAAACTGTTATGTTCAGTGCGCTATAGAACTCAGCGCAGGCGTCAAGCTTGTATAAGTCACTGTATAGTGACTTTTAAGTTATATTAACAATAGTTATTACAAATTACACAAGATGGCGTTTCGATCCAAGGTCACATTCCTTTTTTTGACATGTTTAATAGGTAAGTGATTATTTTGATACTTTCATAACAAACTAGAATGTATTTATAATATTGAATATTAATTATCTCATGAATCTTTTAATATGCATTAAAATTATTTGTTGTTGTTAATGTAATATATATTTAACAAATAAAAACAAGAACGTTGATATATACCTGACTTACTTACATTTTAGTAGACATGAAGTAACATATTCTTTTCTAGATATTCTAACAAAAGACATCAACGCGTTATCAACAGTACGATATCAATGCATTAATGTTAAAAATTTTAAATTTAATAAAAATGTCATGGTCATACCAAAACGGACTTAATACAAAACGGATTTTTGGCACAACTTTCTTGCGACTGAGTGTTGAGCGCGGTTAGGTAAGAGAGAAACTAGCGCGAAATATTGCTACATTGCACTTTGTTTGATTTTGTATTATAGGTTAAGTGTTAAAGGAAATTTTATTCATCATCAATAGGACATTAATTTATAAAATGAAATCTTTTCCTTTAATGGGCCTAACAAAAAAAATATATATACATAAATATTTTTGTAGATAGGGGATGCATCATGTTACATACATATGTATGTAGTTACCTATCAAAAGACTGAACGTGGAAATGAATTTCACTGACAAGGCTTATGGGGTACGGAAAGATTTTCTCATGTAATCTTTAATTCATACTTGATTTAAAGCTTCATCGTTATTTGAAAGAAAAAGTTTATCAGCACATAATAGAGGCTGCTGAATATTTTCATTCAAGTTGCATTATATGGTTAGGTTGAGGTTCAACAGCCAAGGCTATCAGGGAATGCGGATCTAAGCTGCGATAGTAAACGAATACGTTAGATAAATCTCCGAGCGGTGACATTTTGTGCGACCAACGAATGAACATAAATTTAAACTAAACTTGTCGTGTGAATTCATTTTGTATCGTCTTATTTGTTTTGGTATTTTAAATCAGCTATGTGTTTTGAATTTACAATTTGTCTTGTTAAATAACTCTCGTTATTTATCATGAATATTTGTAAATCATTTGATTTAAGACATGTTTTATCAACCTTGATAAATTGATTATAGATTATTTTATGATATAATTAAGATGATCATATGAATATGTGTCATGTTAACAACGAAAGTATGTCTTTAATTTCAAGAGCATGAGGGGCACACACTAGGAAGTTTGCCAGTTGTCAATGTGAACCAGTCATGATCGTTAGCCCTCGCAGGTCTGACAGGAAATACTATAGATAAAAAGCTACTGGCCTATAAGAATATTTTAAAATTAAAACATGTTTTTGATTCAAATAAATTCAACCAAAATTACACCTTTTAAATTGTTTAAATGTTCGTGACACATTATTAAACAATAATTAAACTGCTTAATAGGTATTTTACTAATTATATGTCTAATAATAGTTAATAATAATAGTATGTCATGTGCTGTTTATCGCAGGTCTAATTAATAGATATTTAAAGTTTCTTTGTGCTCTATCGGTTTGTATCATACATACGTCTTCGTTGTATATTTCGGCATCCATATTTAATCGTTACACAAAGCAATATTATAACAGAAGCAATATTTAATTATTTTGTGTAATAAAATTCAAATATATCTTTTACAGTATTAGCATCGTCAGCAGTACCAAAGAAATCGGGCAGAAAACCGGCAAATCCCCCGCCGCGGGCCGTCGCTGATCCCGAGAAAGATGCTGAAATCACAAATTCTTGTCCAGAAGATGGATTCTTCGCTGATGCTGAACAATGTGACAAATACTATGAGTGCAGGTCAGTCAAAAATACAATCTAATGGATGTTTGATCACATCTTTGATATAAAATTTTATTTTAAGTCGGTCTCTAGTATTAATGTATAGACAGACCGGTTGATAAGTAAGTGCTTCCAACTTACCTATTTTTACCGAGAAGGAGTAGCTTATGGGCTTTACTACATACCGGTTTAAAGGGTGCTAAGCTAGTTGAAATAATGAAGTGGCGGGAACTAAGTACCTCGAACGCTGACAATTTCATTCAAAATAGAAAAACAGTTCACGATTTACTGTAAGTCATTATAAATTAAAAAATTATAGTATTATAACTCACAATATTTTAAAATAAAACCAACATTTTAAAAGCTTAAAAAATGAGTAAAACACTTACTTGTGCCAATATTTATCTTGCCAAATTCCTTCTTGACATTATTTGCTTATCACGATAAATCTTCAAACATAAATCATGTCATGTTTTGCCAAATTTGATATTAATAACTCAGCCTTTTGACAGTTGCATAAAGTTCAAAATACTGTGAACTATTATCGAAATATCAATACATACCATTATGTTTATAACAACTTTACCTTGTTTGTGCATCGAATTTTCGTGATTCGAGCGGTATTACCAATGCGTAGGATTTCACATTTACCTTTTACTAAGCTGTGATCGATTCAAATTATTTGCCCTTTGTGTATAATTTATTATTGAGAAACCAAATTCTTTGTGTTGATATCTTTATTTGATAGACGAACTAAATACCTGTTAATGTATAAAAATTTATCGATAGTGCCTTTCCATCACCATCATTATAAAATTCATCATTGTTCATCTATAAATTTATTAAATTTTCCAGAAACGGTGAGATAATCGAAAAGTTGTGTCCCGATGGCATGGTGTTCAATGATTACAATCCGCTGGAGGAGAAGTGCGACCTGCCCTTCAACCTGGACTGCTCGCAGCGACCCAAGCTACGTGAGTCAAATTGTAATGCTAGTATTAAACTGTGTTACTGTATACTACACATATTAATTGCGACCCCAATCGTTTACCGTTGTTTACTCGAACATGTCATCACTTGATATAAAGACTATGAAATACCGAAGTTTTCGTTAGTGTTTTGTTTTTGACTTAATGAACAATTATAATTTAAAATAAATTCCAGCCTGATAACTTCGCGCGTTTTTGAGAAAAAGGGTATCGACAGACAGACGGACGGACAACAAAGTGATCCTATAAGGGTTCCGTTTTTTTCCTATGAGGTACGGAACCTTAAAAAATGGCGGAAATATAACCACAAACAGTTACGACTCCTTTTTTGATTTCAAGTTCAAGTTTAGTTTTCTAAAGTTTATTTTTAAGACTTACTTGTTTTCCCTTCTTTGCCGAATTTCGCAAACATTTTGTATTAACAGGTGTTATCCGGTGTTTCGTTTGAAACGTAATTTAAAAATAATTAGTCAATGATCGAATTATATTCGAATATGTGACCTTAAAACAACCAGTTCATATTGAATTAGAATTTAGCGTGAAACAATTAAGTTGCGTTTAATTGTCGGAACAGTTATTAGTATAACGACATACAAATAATGAAAGGTGTTCGCGTGAACTATATTTGTGGCGGTCATTTGTGAATGTACTACTGTCATTATAAATATATAGTTATATCATAATTAACATATACATTACTTTTAATTAAATTCATTAATAATTTTAATTACCTAGAAATCTAGGCACAAAAAAAAGAAATTTCAGTAATTTATCAACATAAATAGAGAAAGGACAAAGCAAAAAATCGGAACAGGAATAGTGTGTGTAAATAATTCATGCATTTTATATTGTTAAAAAAAATTGTACAAGAAATTTTAATAGTCATTGATCGTAAAAAGAATTGGCATCTTATTATAGTTGGTACTTAATTACTATTTAAATATTTATACGATGTTTCGACCGATTGATTTTTTGATGATGTTAGGAAACATGAATATTCTTGTTCTATTAACATTTACAATTTGTTGTTACCAGCCAGTAATTTAAAGGTCAGGATACACGTGAATATTCGCGGCACGTGTTCCTATTTTAATAAAGCGTCGCATCAGTGTATACACCGGCTATATTGTAAAGGTTATCTATATCGAAACAACTTTCACATCTCAAGGGAGACGCGGCCTTGAGTAACGCAGAGAATATTATACGTCGCACCCACAACGGTGGAGTTAACGAACGGAATTAGTATGCCTTGTATTTCCAGGTTTTAAGTATATAATGGAATAAAATATAAGGCAAATTTTTTCTTCTCTAGACATGACATTCAACAAACAATCTTATAAATTCTCTACAATGAGAAATTATTATCCTTTAATTATTCTTTTTAGCCATTAACATTAATCTTTGTTTTGTAATTAATTAAATTTATCCGTAATAGTTATACATTATTAAACAGTTGAACCAAGATTAAAATGTAAAAGGCCAAAATATCAGGTAGAAGAAAGAAATTCTTATTGCATAATCAAATAAAATGTTTAAGTTTTTTGTACACAAAAATTCAAATGTACTATGTTCCTATACCTACTTATTCTGTAAATATGATGACAAAAATGTAATGTGTTCACAAAAAATATCAATTTTAACAATTTGATAATGTACATTTTCAGAGGAGCCGATACCATCATTGCATTGCGTGCGTCAAAACGGTTACTTCTCGCACGAGGACCCGAAAGAATGCGGCAAATTCTACTACTGCGTGGATGGCAAGTTCAACATGATCACATGTCCCGATGGCCTTGTGTACAACGACAAGACCGGCATCTGCACCTGGCCTGATGAGGCTAAGAAGAAGGGATGCGGAGCTGCTGGTAAGATTAAGATTAATAAATTGAACAAGCATAGATACTCTATATGACTCGGAACATTTTACTGAATAAGAATGACTACTTAGTGCAATGCTTTAGTGTTTAAAAAACACATTATAGTATGAGCTTATTATTAACAAACTTTGAGAGAGTTCAAAGTGCATCATTTTTCTTTTAAATCTCTTTCTCGTCAATACATATAAAATATTATTTCAAGTCAAGTAAAATTTATTAACCTGTTTTATTTATTGCTAACAGATGTGTTCCAATTCGACTGTCCTGCGGTAAATGAGACATTCGGTCTGACACATCCGCGGTACGCCGACCCTGATGACTGCCAATTCTTCTACGTGTGCATCAACGGCAACACGCCACGTCGCTCTGGCTGCAAGCTGGGACAGGCTTTCGATGACGTCAACAAGAAATGCGAGTGGGCAAGGAAAGTTCCCGAATGGTATGTATAAGGAAAACATTTTAATTTTTTTTACGTCATCGCAAAGTTAAATATATGAGTTATGATATCTAAACATTTATTGTACAAACTTCCAACTGTTAAAATTTGTTAAGATTTATGTAGAATCAGTACTGTAACCAAACTTTAGAATATTTTTTTGCATTCATTACCAAATTGTTTTCAATTATACGGTAGAAGAAAACAATATATTATAAAAAGATGTTCCTTTATTACAATTAATTCACTCTATCAATATAATCAATTCTATCCTTATATAATGGGTGTATAATTTTTAGCTGTATGCAAAAAAATCAATAAAAATGAACAATTTGAAGATCAACAATTAATGCCTTTCTGGAGAGTCTCTTGAAGAGAATCAAGTTTAGTTATTAACGATTTTACATTTGTTGTTTTATGTTCTAAATTCAAAACGTTTATTCCAGCGCGGATTGGTACAAAGGACAACTGACAGACGCCGAGCTGGACGCTCTCGAAAACCCGCCGACTCCTAAGCCCAAGCCCGCAGGCTCCCAGCCCTCGAGGCGCAAGCCACAGCGCCCCAAATTGAAAGAGGTGCAGATCGAAGAATAAACAATTACTTTAGTTAGGCTAATAAAATAAGTTTATACACAAATGTATTGGTTTTATTTTAATAAAAGTACACACAGTCGCTCAGAGCCTGCGCCGAGTTAGTCAACGTCATTTGCGCTATTTAAATGCGTCCTCAATAGGGTTTAATTACTGATTTACCCATAGCCAATAAACTGACTTTTGGTGGAGAAAAGGTGTTATGAAAACATGGGATAAAATAAATATAACAACAAAGTAGTAATTGTATAAATAACAATGCAACTTTTAAATATATTGTTTTATTTTTTCATATATAACATTTTTTTCTATTTACATTTTGTTCATCGAAGTTATTTACATAGACTTTCTTTAAATACATATAATCTTGAAATATTAACACAACATATAGTTTTATTTCTACGGTAACTAATATCACGTTCAATTCAATCTGTTAATAACTTTACAAGTAAAATGTCGCTGAATTTTAAGTAAAAAAGGTTACGTTCATCAATTTAGATAGAAAATGGATGAGTTATTGAAATAAATAGGATTCGGTGGAAACATTTCCAATTTTTTTTGTAGTTTTTCATTAAATTAAATAATATATCACAAAACGAAAAGGAAAATTATCTCAACAAGTCTCCCTATTTATATTTAATTTTCATAAATATATTTAATCGGAAATAGTTACCCAAGTTGTTCACGTTCATTTAAAAAGACAGTTATAGCTTACAGTGTTAAAAAGACTAAAACTTAAAACAACCACTATAAAAGATTTACAATTCGTTTTCGTTTTGCGATAAAAAAAAGTGGGAGTAGTAGGGATTACGCATGTCCACAGTGAGGCACGAGCTCTGGGTCTTCGCAGGTAAGGCTCTGATCATCGAACACCTTGCCCTCACCGCAAGCGATCAAGCGAGGTTGGCCCTCCACACAGGTGATCAGTCTGTGGCAGTCACCGGGAACTGGGAACCTGGGGTACGGCCAGAACTTCGCCGCTTGCGAGTGCGATGGCACCTTAGTAGGGCATTTGAATCCAATGACAGCTGTGAATTAAATTTTACTATAGTTTTATGATATAAGAAAATTGACCTTACGTTACGGAGTCTATAAAATTTCATTTTTTTATTAACATATTAATTATATTTAATTGAAACTTCAGATTTAAATTTGAAAAATTCGAAAGAATGACCATGTGTAAATATAAGGAGAGGGATAAAAATTTAAAATTATAAACAACTCCATCTTAAAACAAATAACGAAAACTTTATGTATTTCAAGTTTTTCAGCTATTTATTTTTATTTAACTATTATTTGTTGTTATATTAACATATTTCTCCTGATTTAGCTTTCTATATGCAACTTTTCTATCTACAGTGGTCCCTTACCTTCAGGGTTACAGAATGGCTGCAGGAGATCAGGCCAGTTGCAACCGTGGATCCTCTCATCGTACACGAGTCCGGGCGTGCAGGGCTCCTGTTCGGGAATTCCAAAGGCGCACTTCACGTAGCTAGTAGAGCACTCGTGACTGTCTGGGTAAATACCGAATTGGTACTCGCAACCGGGCGTCGAATACGGCGTCACTATAAATTTAATGCTTAATTTTATTTCATTCCAAAAATGTATTTCCTAATCTAGTCTTTGTCTTATTTGTATTGACTTTAAAACATTTTAACCTATTTTCTTTAATTTAACATTGTTAACTTCTACTTTCTCAAACTATGTGTTAAAGAAATATAGTGCCTTGAGTTAATCTGAACAACTAAGGCATAAAATCAACTTTACTTTGGTTATAGTCTTTACTGAATTGTTTATTTATATATATATTTATTTCTTACATTTTCGTTTATAACAACATGCAAAATTATCTTAAAAATAAATTGCCTTACAATCAGCTTTTCTCTCTCCACACTCCACAGCCCAGTGGTAGTTGCAGTGGTTGTGCACGGCACCTTTGCCGTCGAACAGGAGTCCATTCTCGCACGTCTCCACTGTCAGCGTGCCGTTTGTGCACAGGAAGAATTGATCGCACAGCTCGGGGTGCGCGTATGCCTGGAATCAGTTTAAAAATAATTAAGAGATGTTATAAAATTTTAATAAAATTAGACCAAATTTTAGATGAGCTTCTTAATCATGATGGTTTTATAATATTTTCATTGTTTACATGTATATTTATTTGTACTTAAACTATTTGCTGGAGCAACGACCCGAGTGGATCTTGGCCTCCGACACTAGAGATCTTATCTGATTTTTAATTGTTAATATTTACCTGAACTCCATGTTGTTCAGGACACTGTGGTGCATTCTGCAGAAGAATTCCCGCGCTTGCTGAAAAAGAAAAAAAATGGTATTGTATCGATCCACCAAAAATATATACGCCTAGACTTGCTATTGAAATAAAAAAAAATATTTATGACCATCTCTCTGTGAATTGATACGTCGTCATAATGTCTTCGTTGATCGTCTTTAATAAATTCTTATAATTTACATACACTGCCAGTTATTCAAGACCCAGACTAACGTGATATCTAACAAGTTCTTACTGTTAATTATAACACAAACAAGTCTAAATTTAAATACGTGGATAATAAATGAGACGTATAACAACCAAACAGAGTGTTGATCACATATCGTAATTCGAAACAGAAATTTAAATTTTATATTATTTGCGTTTATTTATATTAATATTTGCAGTACACTATTTACAATTATCATAATATTTGTCTTTAAAACTATTGCCTTTATCATTTACTAACGAGATGTTCAGTTAAAATATATTTTTGACAAATTCTTTTGAACTGCTTATTGACCATAAGCAAGCAATGCGAATAAAATATTTTAAACGCTGATTCCAATTCAATTATTAGATGATACGTCAAGAAGATTATTATTTCATCGTCATCAGCTCACTTTACGTCCCCACCGAGGGGCTACTTTAAGTTAAGGGTGATTAGGCCATAGTCAACCACGCTGGCCAAGTGCGGGTTGGTTCCACGGACCTGCTCGGTCGTCCGGGTGGGCGGAGAGGTGAACTCCGACGTGGCGCGTCCCCGGGTGGTGGATAGGGGAACGCCCCGGCATTCGTGTCGGGGTAGGGCGCAAGCTCCGCGAACCAAACACTGGTAGGTAGGATAGCTAGGTTAGCTAGGATAAGTTAGGTTAGTTTAGGCTAGGTTGCGGGCCCACTTGTGGGCTCGCAATATTGAGGGCGGCGAGCCCGAACCGAGTACCGTCAGGGAAAGGTAAGGGTGAGCCTCATAGGGCGGAGGGCGCAAGCCCGATGCCGGGGCGGCGCGACCAGCTGGAACTCGACCTCTTGGTCGTGGGTCGCGGCCGTCCTATTAGGTTAGTCTAGGTTAGTTAATTTAAGCTAGGTTAGTTTAGATTAGGCTGCGGGCCCACTTGTGGGCTCGCAAATTGAGGGCGGCGTCTCGCCGGTAGGCGAGCGCCTATAGAGGGGAGCGAGCCCGAGCTGAGTACCGACAGGGAAAAGTGAGGGTGAGCCCCATAGGGCGGAGGGCGCAAGCCCGATGCCGGGGCGGCGTGGCCTTTTGACCTCTGGGTCGTGGGTCGCGGCCGTCGGATTAGGTTAGGATAGTTTAGCTAGGTTAGTTAGTGTAGGTTAATTAGGTTAGGATGCGGGCTCACTTGTGGGCTCGCAGACGTGAGGGCGGTGGAGGGCGCGAGCCCGAAGCCAGGGCGGCGCGGCCCATCTGGGCTGTTGTCGCTGGGTGGGGCGTGGGAGAGTGCGACCTCGGTACCTATCTGCTCTCAGATTTGGACTCGATGGCGTGCATCCTGCGTCCCAACGCGTAACCTCGGTGGGTGGACCATCACCACCGAGACCGCGGGCCTCTGTCTTGATGAAGACGGGGGCCAAGAGGTGGGTCTCTATAAACCCTAGGCGGCATCAGCGGGGGAGGGCGGGGAATCCCGAACCTGCATTGCACGGTGTCGTCTCTGAGGAGCGCCTACGGGTGCAGCGCCCCATTGGGGACGCATTGAGGAGCCCTATTCTCGGGGTGGTCAGTGGGGCGTCGCGGTGGTAAGTTAACACGATCCCGTGGCGTCCCACATATGGCTATGAGGGAACAGAGGGGTTTAGTGGGTATGCTCCCATTCGGGGAGAGAATCCCACATAACTACCGTGCCTTCCCCGAGGCACGGAGTATGCATAAAGCATTCCCCTCTGAAACAAAAAAAAAAAAAGTGCGGGTTGGTTGATTTCACACATATCCTTTGAATTTCTTCTCAGATATGTGCAGGTTGCATCACGATGTTTTCCTTCACTGTAAGAACGTCGGATAAATGTACATATGTAAATCGAAAATCGAAAAACACATTGGTACATGGCGGGATTCGAATCCAGGACCTGCAAATTGCAAGTCAAGTGCTTGACCACTGAGCCACCGACGCTCCGATTATTATTTAATGATATTATTTTTAATGAGAGAGAATATTTGAGATATTTGGTTTCATTGTAATTATAGACAGAAATATGTTACTTTTTACATCAAACTTAAAGAAGTATCTAGAACTTTGCAATTATTTTAATGAATAAAAAATGTTAATTATATTGCGACTGTCATTTAAACAATTTAAATAAAATATTTTAATGTCCATTAAAATTCAGTTATTTGTTAATACGCTACTAGTATTACACTTACAAAAATTCGCTTTACCGTAACTGAAAATTTTCTAAAATATTACATTTGACCTCGTTAGCACGCCCGACGTTACTAATCACATAATAGTAACAATTGATAATTATAACTAACGACCTCTGACGGCGGCTGCGCGAAGGTTAACCATCCGATTCGCTAGTTAAACAACAGCTTGTTAAAACGAAAGCAACCTCCTTAATTATGTTAGTTATAGGTCATATATAGGTGCAACATTTGAATATATCATTATTCGTCTTATAAGTTTTTACAGAACATCGGTGGCTCAAGGGTTAAGCACTTGCCATCTGCAGGTCCCGAGTTCGAATCCCGTCATGTACTAACGTGTTTTTAAATTTACATATTTACATTTATCCGACGTTCTTACGGTGAAGGAAAACAT